AGGGGGGAGGGTCAGAGGGAGAAGCAGACTCCCTGCCGAGCAGGGAGCCCGATGCGGGACTCGATCCAGGGACTCCAGGATCATGACCTAAGCCGAAGGCAGTCGCTTAACCAACTGAGCCACCCAGGCGCCCAATAATAAAAAATTTTTAAAAAGCAAGGGGTTTGGCTCAAAGTCTACATAAGAAGCCCCAAACAATGCAACTAGGTGATTAACCCTTGTTCCACCCTATAAGACTGAAGAGATTGAACCAGAGAGATTTCCAGTTCAGGAACACAAGTTGATAAACTGAAAAGGAGGAACAAGTTGAAGTCTATATATTTAAGGATGAGAACATAAAGCCCCTTCCCCTGTCCCTTTCCCAAAATACTGGCAGTCAGGCTTGTACCTTCAGGCAAGAGATTAAAATATCCTTTGTGGTAGCACAACTCCAGAAGAAAGTCCTACAGATATATTTGGAGGGTCCACCAACAAAAAAATTCTCCCCCAACAACCCTGTTAATTAAAGCCAAGTCAGCAACTCCTACAGCATAAGCCTCCACCCCTTCCCCAAGAAACTACACACATCCATCCTCCCACCAACACATTGTATATATAGACAATTACATGTCATTTTAACAGCTAATGATCAGCAGACATTTGAGGAAAGATTCCAACGTGAATAAAAAAGAGATCACACAGGAAAAAAAACTGAGGAAACAATTTGGGAAATAACTTCAGAAAAAAATAAATCTTCAGACCAGAGCAGATGATCTTACTTCTATGAAACATGAGCAAAATGCTATCTTTTTTTAAAAAAAGATTTTATTTTATTTACTTTTATTTAAAGTAGGTTCCACACCCAGCATGGAGCCCAGTGCAGGGCTTGAACTCACAACCATGAGATCAAGGCCTGAGCTGAGATCAAGAATTGGATGTTTAACCACTGAGCCACCCAGGCACCCCTCAAAATACTATCTTTAAAATGGACTGTTCAGGAAATAAGAACAGGTCTTGGAAATTAAAAATATGATGGTTCAAATTAATCACTCAATAGAAGTTCTAGAAGATAAGAAAAAGCTCTTGACAAATAGAACAAAAGGACAAAAGATGGACAATAGAAGAGAAATATGAAAATTAGAACAATACAGGAAGTCTAACATACAGCTAGTGACTAGGATTCAAGGAATTAAAAAGCAGTGGAAGGAAAAATAGTGAAAAATACATACATATATATGTAGAAGTTTCCCAGACTGGATAACATGAATCAAAATGAAAATGCCATGAATATCTTACACAGTAAGGGAAAAATAAAAGCCCAGGGGCGTCTGATTGACTCAGTTGGTAGAGCAGGCGACTCTTGATCTCAAGTTTGTGAGTTCAAGTCCCACATTGGGCATGGACCCTACTGGGGGGAAAAAAAAGGGCCAAATCAAAGCACATCATTATGGAATTTTTTAACACTAAGGATAAAGAGAAGATTCTAAAAACAATAGCATCAGCCTTCTCAACATCACTGAAAGCTAAAAAGCAAAAGGGAAATACCTCCAATTTTGCCTAGAATTTTATCCCCAGCCAAAAGACGAATCCGACATGCAATTTTAAAACAATTTTCTCCTAGCTGTTCCTTTTCTGGAAGCTATTAAAAGCACATGCTTCAGCAACACATCAGAGAAGAGAGAAAGGCAGGAATTGGAAAAGATACAAAACCAAGAAAAACAGGCTCCAACAGAGGAAAGAGTCAAAGAGAGGCATCCACTTTACAATATCTGGGTAGTCTCCCAGGAACTAGCTGCTCCAACACCTGTTTTATGTGTGGACAACACTGACTTTAGCAAGTTCTTTGTACCAAAATCTGTCCCCATTCTAATGGAGTTCCTATAAGATGAGAATGTTTTCCCTTGCATATAGCAATACTAAATATCTTTGAATATCAGTTCTGCCAGTTGTCCTATTCTGAGGTTACTCAGCTGTGTTTCATATGGTGGGTCTCCATCTTATGATCAGTTTCCTGAGACTATACCATGTATCAATGTTATGTGGACTACTCAGAAAGGGCCAGAATATTGCAAGTGGAGTCTTGTTTTAGAAACTATATGTCTTTTTTTTTCTTTTTAACAGCTTTGTTATTGTGCAATGTACTTAAACTACACATTTTTAAGTATACAATTTTACAAGTTTTGATATGTGTGTAGTCCCATGAAACATCACCACTATCATGATAATGAGAATATTTATCATTTTTAAGAGTCTGCTCTTGCCTCTTTGTAATCTCTCCTTCCCACCTTCCCCTCTCTCTACTCCTGTCCCACACCCAGGAAATATTGGTGTCCCAAGGCTGCCATAATAATTACATAAGCTGATGACTTAAAACAACAGAAGTTTATTCTCTCACAGTTCTGGGGGCCAGAAGTCTGAAATCGAGGTGTCAGCATGGTCATGCTCTCTAGAGGCTCTAGGGGATAATAATCCATTCTTTGCTTCTTCCAGCTTCTGGTATCTTTTGGCATTCTTTGATTTGTGGCCAGTTACTCCAATCTCTGCCTCTGTGGTCACATTTTGTCCTCTTCTCAGGGTCTGCCTCTCTTCTGTCTCAAATCTTCCTCTGCCTTCCTCTTACGAGGACACTTGACTTAAATTTAAATCCCACCTGGATAATCCAGAATGATCTCCTCATCTCAAAATCCTTAATTATATCTGCAAAGACCCTTTTTCCAAGCAAATAACATCCATGTCTTCTGGGAATTGGGATGTGGACATATCTTTTGGAGGCCACCATCATTCAATCCACTCCACCACTAATCTGCTTTATGTCATTTGTTTGCATTCTCTAGAATAAAGGGAATCAAACAGTATGGTCCGTTTTGACTTATTTCATTTAGCATAATTATTTTGCTTCTTATTCATGTGGTTTCATGTATGAGTAGTTCATTCCTTTCTATTGCTGAATAGTCATTCATTGTTTGGATTATACCACAATTTGTTTATTCATTTACCGGTAGTTGATAGACATTTGGGTTGTTTTCAGTTTGGGGCTAGTACATATACAGCTGCTGTGAAATTCTTGTGCAAGTCTTTGTATGGACATATGCTTTCATTTATCTTGGGTAAATATGTAGGAATGGAATGGTAAACATATGTTTTTAACTTTTTAAGAAATTGCAAGTAGGTTTTTCAAAATGGTTGTACCACTTGACACTCCCACCAGCAGTGCCTATGAGTTCCAGCTGTGTCACATCACTGGCAACACTTGATATGGACAGTCTTTCTGATTTTTGCTATTCTAATAGGTGTATCATGGTAGTTCCTTACGGTGTTAATTTGTACAAGCCTAATGGTTAGTGATGCAGAATATCTTTTCATGTGCTTATATGCCACCTATATACCTTCTTTGGTGACATGTTTGTTCAGATCTTTGCCCATATTTTCATTAGGTTGTTTTCTTATTGAGGTTTGAGATTTCTTTATATATTCTGGATACAAACCTTTTACATTTGGTTTGTAATTTCTCCTGTCTGTGGCTTCATTCTTTGAACAGTGTCTTTCAAATAGCAGATGTTCTGGGCGCCTGGGTGGCTCAGTCATTAAGCGTCTGCCTTCGGCTTAGGTCATGATCCCAGGGTCCTGGGATCGAGCCCCGCATCGGGCTCCCTGCTCTGCGGGAAGCCTGCTTCTCCCTCTCCCACTCCCCCTGCTTGTGTTCCCTCTCTCGCTGTGTCTCTCTGTCAAATAAATAAAATCTTTAAAAAAAAAAAAAACAAATAGCAGATGTTCTTAATTTTGATAAAGTCCAATTTATCAATTTTTTTTTTATGGATCATGGTTTTGGTGTCATCTCTAAGATCTGTCTAACCCAAGGTCACAAATATTTTCTCCTATATTTTCTCAGAAATTTCATAGTTTAAGCACCTACATTTAGGCATATAGTCCATTTTGAGTTAGTTTTTTATTGAATATGTGCAAAATATGTCTCAAAAATTTTTTGGTTTTGTTTTGTTTTTCTACAGTGGATAGCCAGTTCTTTCCAGCACCATTTATTTAAAAGACTATCCTTTACACTAAAGAGATACATGCACCCCTATGTTCACTGCAGCATTATTTACAATAGTGAAAATATGGAAGAAACCTAAATGTCCATCTCTAGTTGAATGTATAAAGGTTAGACAGAAAAACACAAATATCATATGATTTCACTTATATCTAAGAAACAAAACAAATGAACAAATGAAGCAGAAACAGACTCATAGACACGGGAAACAAACTGATGGTTGCCAGAAGGAGAAAAGGTTGGGAGGTGGGTGAAGTAGGTGAAGGGGATTAAGAGATATAAACTTCCAGTTATCAAATAAATAAGTCATGGGGAAGAAATGTATAGGGAATATATTCAGTAATATTATAATACCTTTGTATGGAGACAGATGGTAACTAGACTTATTGTGGGGATAATTTCATAATGTATAAAAATAATGAATCAGTAAATTAAAAGATTTATAAAACATAACTTATTTGCAAAATTACTAAAGTAATGACAATACAAAGCTTAATTAAATAACTTCAATAACAAAAAAAATAAATAAATCAGGGGATGCCTGCGTGGCTCAGTCACTTAAGCATCTGCCTTCAGCTCAGGTCATGATCCCAGGGTCCTGAGATCAAGTCCCACATCGGGCTCCCTGCTCAGTAGGGAGCCTATTTCTCCCTCTGCCTGCCACTCCCCCTGCTTGTTCTCTCTCTCTCTCTGACAAATAAATAAATAAAAATTAAAATAATCAGTATGATGAACACCTGAAACTAATAGGATATTGTATATCAATTATACTTCAATAAAATAAATAAATAAAAAACTAGCCTTTGTCTATTGAATTGCCTTTACACCTTTGTCTAAAACCAACTGATCATAAACGTATGGGTCGAGTATGGATCCTATTTTGTTATATCAAATTGGTTTGTCTCTCTTTATATCAACACTGCATTGTCTTGATTACTGTAACTTCATAATCTTAGAATCAGATAGTATAACTCTTCCAACTTTGTTCTTTTTCAAAGTTGTTTTGGCTATTCTAGTTTGCTTTTCCATATAAATCTTAGGATAAGCTTGTCAATTTCTACAAAAAAGCCTGCTGGGATTTTGTTGTGATTTAATTGAATCCATAGGTCAATTGGGGAGAATGACGTCTTACCAATATTGTGTCTTCTGAACCATGAACACAGCTCTGCTTATTTCAGTCTTCTTTAATTTCTCTTAGCAATATCTTGTGGTTTTTATTATACAGGTTTACATATCTTATATCAGAGTTATCTCTAAGTGTTTCATATTTTTAATTTTATAAATGACATTTTAAAACATTTTCAGTTTTTAATTGTTTGTTGCTAATATACACAAGAAGTACAATTTATTTTTGTATACTGAGCTTGTATCCTACAGCCTAGTTTAACTCATTACCCCTACTTTTTCTGTAGATTCCTTGTGATTTTCTACATAGAAGTTCTTAACATCTTTGAATAAAGACAGTTTTATTCTTCTTTTCTAATCTGAATGCCTTATTTATTTTTCTTGCTTTATTGCATTGGTTAGAACCTCCAGTACAAAATGAAGTAGAAGTGGAAAGAGCAGACATCTTGCCTTGTTTCTGATCTTAGGGCAAAGCAGTCTTTAATAAGTATGATGTTAGCTGTAGATTTTTTGTAGAAACTCTATCAATTTGAGGAAGGTCCTTTCAATTCCTACTTTGCTGAGAGTTTTTAATCAGGTTGGATGGTTATTGTTGCCTAAGTTTGCATCTGAATTTGGAAGCCATTTGGTCAATTGTTTATTAAATGCATAATCAATTAAAAACCTCATGGTCTTAATCCTCCTTATGGCTAAATCACAAAGCATTATTGAAGGGTAGGCTTAGTAGAATTTGAAGCCTAAAGACCCCTTCTTAATTTTTGGTTCTGCTATTTACTGTTTGTGAGACAATAGTCAAGTCATCTGACCTAGCTCTAAGACTCAGTTTCCTTATATTTAAATCAGTAATAACAAGGTAATGTTAACAACCATGCAGGATTGGCACTTGCCTGAACCTGAAAGAGCATCTTCTTAAATTGTGTGCCCTAAGTACTTTGCTTGCCTTATCCTAGTTCTGGCCCTACATTATGATGTTCAATTCACTGTGTTCCTGGAAGTCACAGTATTCTCCAGTGCTGTCATTCTGAACCAAGTTCTCACTCTGAGAGACCTGGATTTTTCTGAAATGACATAGTGGAAAAAATTCTACATATATAATTTCAAATTCCTTGAACCTGAATTGACATTTCAACTCTTTTAATAGCTGTGGAAAAGAAAACAAACAAACAGTATTTTGAATTAAAAAAAAAAATAGCTGTGGGATCTTGGGCAAATTATTTAACTTTTCTGAACCTTACTTTCACAAACTGTAAAATGAATAATAATACCTATTTTACCTACCTTATATAAGGTGTTTTGAAGCTCAGCATGATGATGGATGGATAAACGCTTTAACTGCAAATCATCTCTCAAATATATAAAGTATTAGCGTGCCAACTGTGAGAGCAGATCACTGGTAAAAGCTTGATGAATTCCTGCAAAGCCCAGACATGCGGAAGAAATGACACAGAAATGTTCCAAGTCTCCAAATTTATTGAGCCCTTTCCTTCCTTTGGTGCATAATGAATCACTGGTGAATCACTCAGTCAATCACAAACATATTCAAAGGACTAAAGTAGAGGACTGGTTGGCTCTGCCTTAGGCCAAAATCGCATCTCAGAGTGAGCAACTTTCACTTAATTTTCAAAGGAATTTCATTTCATTCAAATTCTCTTTGATCAAAGTTTAATTTATCAACAATAAAGTATATGTACCTTCAGTGTACAATTCAGTGAGTTTTGACAATCATATATACCCATGTAATACCCACATCAAATCAAGATATAGAACTTTTTCCTTAACTCAGAAAGTTCCCTCAGGCCCCTCTGTAGTCAAATCTACCACCATCCCAGAGGTAACTGTTCTCATTTCTATCATAGAATGTTAGTTTTGCTTATCTTGGACTTCATACAATGGAATCATACAGAATGTACTCTTTGAAAAACTTTATTTTTGTTATATTAAGATTCTAGTTAAACAGGGCTCAGAGCTAGGGTATTCATGTTCCCTTGGCTATTTAAAAGCAGAGGTAACTTGAGATTTTTATTTCCATTCACAGTTGTTATAACAGTTACTCTCTTTTTTTTCCTTAAGATTCACTTATTTATTTTAGAGAGAGCACTGGAGAGCTGGGGTAGAGACAAAGGAAGAGGAGAGAAGCAGACTCCCTACTGAGCGCGGAGCCTGAGGGCTTGATCTCACAGCCCTGAGATGACCTGAGCCCTGAGCCAAAATCAAGAGTGGAACATTTAACCAACTGAGCCACCCAGGTACCTCACAGTTACTTTCCGATTGTCCTGGTTTTTGGAATTACCCTGAAGTACAATAAAAGAGTGAGTACTTAAGCAGGGAGTCAGGAATCTTGGGTTTCAATCTTTGCTTCATTACTTTGGGCAAGCTCTTAGCTGTGAGGTCTGGCCCATAAGAATTTTTTATTTTATTTTATTTATTTATTTGAGAGAGAGAGCACAAGAGGGGGTAGGGTCAGAGGGAGAAGCAGACTCCCCGCCGAGCAGGGAGCCCGATGTGGGACTCTATCCCGGGACTCCGGGATCATGACCTGAGCTGAAGGCAGTCGCTTAACCAACTGAGACACCCAGGCGCCCAAGAATTTTTAACATTTTATCATTTTAATCAAGTTTACTGTTAAAAATAAGCATATTTCTCTTAAACATTTGAAACTAAATTTTCTGTTTAGGTGAGCTTTGGGGAAAGTTATACTTATTCCCTTTAGACCCATTCTGCTGAGCTCAAGACATTTAGATAGCCTATGTTGTATGTAGCTTATTCCAAATTGGGATGATACGGTGCAGCCCAGATATCAGGCTGAAACACTTCTAAAAACAAGTAATTCCAATTCTGGAAAAATCCTATCATGGCTGATTCAAGGTAGGAAAGCAAGGGACTGGAGATGAGAAGCTGAAGGCTGACTTACTTTTTACCGTATACCTGTTTGTGCTGCTTAATTTCTGTACTAAGTACATGTATTAATTTTTCAATTTTGGGGGGGAGAGGGTCAAAAGGAGAGGGAGAGAGAGAATCTTAAGCAGGCTCTGCACCAGCACCCGAGTAGGGCTCCATCTCATGAACCTGAGATCATGACCTGAGCCCAAATCAAGAGTCAGACACTCAGCTGACTGAACCACTCAGGCGCCCATAATTTTTCAAAATTTTTATTTATTTTTATTATTTTTTAAAGATTTTATTTGTCAGAGAGAGAGGGAGAAAGCGTACAAGCACAGGGAGTGGCAGGCAGAGAGAGAAGCAGGCTCCCCGCTGAGCAGACAGCCGGATGTGGGACTCGATCCCATGACCCTGGGATCATGACCCGAGCCGAAGGCAGACACTTAACCGACTGAGCCATCCAGGTGTCCCAAAATTTTTAAATAAAATTAAGAAGTGGAGGTGAATTGAAGTGTACAGCTGAATATGAATTCCGAGGCCAAAAGGAGAGATGTGTCCTATATAATTCAGTTATTATAACTGATAACCAGCGAGCCTGGACCATGCCTGATGGCTGAGCTTAAATGGATCATTTCCTGCCATTCCTTTTCTGCCCCTACCCACCTCTCCACCATTTTCCAGTATGACTCACCCTCGTACTCCAGGACATGATAATGTCATGTTTGCCCAAAATAGATGTTTCATGCCTTAGTGCTTCTCTCCACAGTGCTTCTGTGGCCTTTAACCCCCCACGCATTCCACCTCTTGACCCAGGTAAATTCTTCCCTCTTCCTTCTCTCACTACCATCCCTGTTTGGATGAGGGCTCCTCCTCTGTGTTTCTATGCTTATTACATAATATCATAATTGCTTTTTCCTTTCAAATAGCTAGTTTTTTTCATTGTAAAAGTAACTGATGCTCATTGTAACATTTCAAATGATAGGGATGTGTATATCTAAAAAGAACTTTCCTCCCGCTGACCCCCATTCCACTTGGAAGGGTACCAAAGGGTGACTTTCCATACTTTAGTAAAAATTACTGAAGCAGTACTTGAATTTATTTCCCTTTGTAAGATTCAAATCACAGGAGTTTATAAAGGAGCGCTCCCCTTGGATTTTTGCCTTCACTTTCCTTGCCCAAATCATGAATGGTGTGCTGGGTAGCCTTCCAGTCCCTCTTTCTATCCATTTCATATAAATGCACATGCGTATGTGTGGCAGATACTAAAACACCAGAACTCAAAGTGCTCTCACTACTAGATCTTCCCTTCCTTTTCCTCTGTGCCCTGCTTTAAGGGGGGTTCTTTGTTGTTCAGAGCAAGGTTATGAGCAGAGATGTCAATTAAAGAAGATGAGAGAAGCAAAAGATTTCTCTGCATAAGAAAGATCTTGGAGCCATCCTGAGAAGGAAAGAAAAGATCTGGAGGTGGGGAGTAAAGGGGGAAACCTGAATGAGCAGGGAGTTTTGAGGGAAGGGGGCAAGGGGAAAAAAAGGGGAGCAGTTGCTTCAAGGAGTAGGACACTGGGGAGATGTAGATATGTAAAGAGAATTTTTAGCAAGTTTTAATTTTAATATAATTTAACATAATTCCTCATTTACTATCTCAAGAGACTTTCGGTAAGAGTCACTGTTAGGTTTTAAGGCTTTGGGGAGTCATATGTGTGTTTCTCGTGAAAGTATCTATAGGTCCACACCGGATCTGGGGGTGGAGTGAATCTCCCCTGAAGCACCTGGGCTGTATAGAGTAAGTTTGTGGAAAATCAAGGAACAAATTCAGGACACTGTAAGGAAGGGAAGGAGAAGTAGGAATGAAAGCTGGTCACTCCCGAGTAATATCTAACTCCCATTATCTCAGCCTTAACAAAGTGTGCTGGTTGACAGAGCCTGCCCACATGTACAGAGCTTTTTCAAAATCCTAAATTTAAGTAGTGCCTGGGAGGCTCAGTCAGTTGAGTGTCTGACTCTTGATTTTGGCTCAGGTCACAGTCTCAGGGTTGTAAAATCGAGCCCCACGTCAGGCTATGCACTCAGTGCAGAGTCTGCTTGAGATTCTCTCTCCCTCTGCTTCTCTCCCAGCTCACCCACACACACTCTCTCTCTCTCTCAAATAAATAAATAAAAATATTAAGGAAAAAAACCCCACCAAAATTCTAGATTTAAATTACTGAAATATTAATGAATAACTAAAGATCATCAGACAGCTTCAGAAGGCTCCAAAGAGAAAACAACAAACTTAAAAACAATGACCTAGGAGGAAACAGGAATAACAAACAGGGGAAAAAAGCAAAGAGGTAAAAGGTTCTGGCCAGTTACCTTGGAGATTCAAAACGATATTGTGTACATAAAACGTGAACAGGTATCGATGGGTATCTATGAAAAAGAAACCATCAGAGAATAAGAACTTTTGCTCAAGCCAGAGGCCTGCCAATCTCTGAGACTCCTTCTTTCTTACCTCTAGTGTCCAATGTGACAAGTCCTACCAACTCTGCCTTAGGAATGGCCCTCATCAGTTCTTGTCCAAACTACTGTTCTATCCTCTACAGTACAGTCCTAGTAATCTGTAAAAATCTCCCCTCCTTAAAAACCTCTGGTGGATGGGGGCGCCTGGGTGGCTCAGATGGTTGGGCATCTGCCTTTGGCTCGGTTCATGGTCTCAGGGTTCTGGGATCGAGCCCCACA